TTGTTTCTATTATTAATATTACCGAGTAGTAACCTTCTACGATTATACGTAGCGTTTCACGTTCACCACGAAACAGTGATTCATGAATCTGCACCCTTTACCAATACCACCCATTTGAGGAGCCACGTCAGTCTTTCTGTTCAAACCTTAAACAATGAATAATCTTCATTATCCGAATATAGTATAGATCTTACAATATGATATAATATAGATCGGTGTACACGAACATGTTTCCGTCTATATTAACAGATATTCGTTGCTTTCCCATTTAAATCTTTTTATTTGTTTTCTTTTTGTGTTTTCCTTATTGTTTATTCTTCATTTTTGCATTAAGACCCAAACCAGAATCTTACTCTACTTTTTCAACATAGGGGAACACCAAAATAAAAATCGGGAGCACCAGCTTTATGTCACCACGTTTTTGGGAGACTATTTGCTAAAGGAATAAAAACGAGATGATAAAACTGAGCACCTACTTCCTACCTACTTTACTAAAACGTCAATTGTAACATTTTATTAAAGGATAGTCACATTTGTTTGATAGTCAGATATGTTAATTTATTTCTTTGTTATTTTTCTCTTCTAGAAAGTTCCAAGTGATTTTTTTTTTGTGGAAATAGAGTAAAAAGCGTTCAAATCTCATTGCGTTAGATATTTTTACATTAAATACATCAATACAGACCATCACTTTGGTAGCCTTTGGCCAGAAGTCACCAGTTAAGCCGACACATTAGCAATCACTTGTAAGGTTTTCAAAAAAGTGTTGCTGTTAATTAGAGAGAAGCCCCTGAGATTTAGAAATTTTCTCCATTAATGTGTTTATTGTTCCCTTCAAATCTTTATTAGGAATTATTCATTACCCTAGCAAATATCTTTGCGTACAAATGCTCGAGTCTGTAGTCAGTTTTCATAAGTATTCAGCGAACATGTGTAGAATACTGATTTATAAAAATACTTGGTCTCAAGTACATTCACTAGAACAGTCCAATTATTTGAAAATAAGAAATAACATTTATGTTTTTTACATCGACAATAAATGTCTAACAAATAATATTAATTTACTATGAGTCATTGGTTTGATAATGTTGCTGGTATTCTAACCTTTTTTACTAATTTTGTGTAGTGGTCTTTTATCGTGCTTCAACTAATTTTACAAAACTTCTAGATTCTGTTAAATTATAGAAGCAGAAGATAAGTAGAAAAAATGTTGTTCTATAGGTGTGCGGTTATATTGCAGTGATGATAAATATACATTCGATATTTTTACGCGATATATTGTGTCAGATCGTTATTTGCATTCATTTTGTTTGTTCTGAAAAAGGGGAAAATAAATATTGTATTAAAATGGTACAATTTTTTTTTAACCTATAAGTATGAGGATACGTGCACCATATGTATTTTTCATAACAGATTATTTTTTTCCTGTTTCTCTTCCTCCTGTACAGCGTAGCATATAGAGTACATATAACCTGTATAAAACATTGTTGAATGTCATGCATCATCGATCGAAAAATTTTTTGTTGTCGTGTCGATACATTTATTCAGTGGTTTAAAACGTTCTTAAAACAACAGAAAAATTCAAAATTTTGACTAGAGATATTTTCTGTATTTATTAACAATTGTTATGTAATACAAAAAAAAGGAATCGTATCATATTTCAATGTATACTATGTAGTAAGAATAAAAAATTCGTAAATATAAAATATATGTTGGAATAAAGTGAAAAAAATGTATTCTTATTAGTTATATTTTCAAATCCAGCTATTTTGAATAATAATAATAATAGTTTAACAGTGGCTGCAAAAATTGTTCAGTATCTTTTTAAATTGATTTCAAAAATAGACAAGTCGAGCTTACGATCATCTAACGGACATTTTTAAAACAAAAATAAAATAGAGTAAAAATTTAAATTTGAAAAAATGTAACTGTCTGTCGAGTTTCTTATATATGTAGAATATTGACTCATCTAATTGTCAAGATTTATTGACGATTAATGATTGGCTGACTCTTCAAAAGAAATGTTCAATGGTTCATAGAAAAAAATTGTAAACTATTATTATTCTTGATATGTCTGAACGAACCGATGTTTTTGTATAGTATTCATTGTTTTTTGCGATATGCTCAATTGCTACAAAAAGAATAGTTCAAGCCTCTATGAATATGGTTTATTTTATTACTCTGAAACGAGAATTTGATTAAATTTTTAGCAATATGGATGCTTTTTTTCCTATTTATTAATTTTTTTAATTAGACTTTTATGAAATCTGTTATTTATAGTTGCATATAACTGCTAAAATTGAATTTTATGCTGTAACATTCCATTTACACTTAGGAACGATGTCTTCGAAATTGATTTTTTTACTATACCTGTTTGTTTTCTCCAATTTTAGATAAGCAAATAAACGGATGTCGTGGTCGAACGATAGAACATATTTTATTTTTGGTTTACTAATTATGGTCTCCATGACCCATTCTCAAAAATATCAGGGAGACAACGCTTATCAACAAGAACGTGTGCAAGGTCGTCAAAACGATCCACCACCACCACGATCTGACATACAGCGCCAAAACCAGCAACAGTTTCTACCTCGAGGTCAGAGTCGTTCAGACGCTGCAGCACCACCATCACGATCGGTGGGTATAAAAACTTAATAAAAAAAAAAGATACTAACTTTGTAGTTTCTAGAGACAAATTTCACATTGTAATTCTCAGATATTCGTATGATCATTTCTTCCAAACTTATTAAAAACTTTGAAGAACAATAAGCTAAAAGAAATTTCTTTTCAGATTATTTCGTTAGCTGCGTCTCCACAGTGTGAAGACGATGTATCGAGATACTGTAATAAAGGCAGTTCAAGTCCAATTAGTAATTTGAAGGTATTGCAATGTATGGATGATTTAGATGACGTAAGTTGAACTTTCTCAAATATAAAAAAGTTGTCAGTATTTATACTCTTTCATTTTTCCAGGCTGTCCATCTGATTCATACAGATTGTCAGGATGTAAGTTATAAACGATAACTTGATTATCAAGGAAAATAAATTTTTTTCCTCTTATTTTAAGCTTATATACGATTTCAAATTAAATATGACAAAAGATGCTCGATTTGATGATGCAGCAAAAAAACAATGTAGGAATGATATTAAACAGGTAAATAAATATGTTGACATAAACGATTAGTTAGGCTTTTTTTTCTAAATCTGTTGGAGTTGTACAATAATGAATAAAGAGATTCCTAGATCGACCTTTCCGAAAGATTTTCACAACTGTATTTAAATAAAGCATACTAATGGATGAAATTTTAATTTTTTAATTTTAGTTAGACGAATGTGAACGTTTCGTGGAGGCACCTGGTACGGGTCGATTGATTGCGTGTTTATACGATAGATTAGACAATATAACAGAGCCAGGATGTCGTCTTTTTATTAATCAAATGCAAGCGGTTGTGTTTAATGACTGGCAATTAAGTGAAAATTTTCTAATTAGCTGTCGAGATGATATAGATAGGACTAACTGTGGTCGACTTGATGATGAAAATAAAGCGGTAAAAATATACTTATTTTGCCTATTTAATGACACTTCCTCTTTTCTTTTGACTTTTTATAGTATCGAGAGAAAGCATGATATCGACTTGATATTTTTATCAGAGCTGGAACACTAACAAAACAAAAATCGACATGTTTTTGCTAAAATTTAAATAATATGGTTTTCCAGATATATTCAAAAACACTAGCCTTTTCGCTATCGACACATACAATTTCCTAAAATTTTGTCTGATTGAGCTCGAATTTTTACTATATATGAAATACCCAATAAAGTTTCTCAAAGATTTTTTTGAAAATTTTATTTAGCTGTCTTTCTCTGAGAGTTATAGCAAAAATGTGAAAAGTTCGGTGAAAAACCACGAATTTTTGTTTTGAAAACATTATAAACCCAGAGGAAAACGTTGGAAACAAAAATACACAAAACACCCGATAATAGTGACAAGTACTTCCAGTAAAATTTTAGGGAATCATATTTGTCGATAGTGGAAAAGCTAGTATTTCTGAATATAGCTGGAAAACCATGGTATTTAAGTTTTAGCAAAAACATGTCGGTTTTTATTTTGTCGGTGTTCATGCTCTAATAAAAATGTCAAGTTAATATCATGCTTTCTCTTGATAATATAAAAAGTCAAAGAAAAGAAGAACTATTTCCTTAATTATCTTATTTTTTACTTTTTTTAGCTTAATCATGCACAAGGAGCTGTTGTCTCATGTTTATCAGTAAAATTCGCTAGTTTACGTCCAGAATGTAAAAAACAAATTTTCAGATTAGCCGAAATGCAGTCAGAAGATTATCATCTTGATCGTGCGTTATATTATGCATGTAGAGATGATCGAGAACGATTTTGTAATCAAGTATCTGCTGGAAATGGACGAGTACGTATTATCACATCAATAATAATATGTAATAAGCTTTTGTATTTCAAATTTAGGTCTATCGATGTTTGTATGAGCACAAGTTTGATACGATGATGTCGATAGATTGTCGTAATGAAGTACAACGCCGTCAGTCACTACTGGTAGAAAATGTTGGTATTGATGCAGGGTTAACTCGTGCATGTGCGAGAGAAATAGACCTAAATCAATGTAAAAATCGTTCATATTCCAACAATCAACAACAACAAAGCACAGAAGTCGATAAAAAGTTGTCTTTAGTTAATTTATTATTGTGTTTGGAAGATCGTATAAAAAAAGGTGTGTGACATACAAAATTCGAAAGAATTTTAGTTAGTCTTCTAGCATAACTTTCATGAAGTTTAAAAGGAGATGTAAAGTAAAAATGAGATACTTTTTAATCTTTCTGAGTGGAAAAAAATATCATGTGCTCTATTTCTACATACTCATTCTTTTCTTATAGGGGGTAATGTTCAAGATGATTGTCGTCGTGAGATGTTAGCGCATCGACGAATGTTAATGTCTGACTTTGAATTATCACCAGATATTGTTAGAAATTGTGACACAGAATTGACTAATTATTGTTCACGTTTGTGGGCGGACAAATCAAGGGGTACCGCGAAGCAGAAAGGTGGCAGAGTGTTACACTGTCTGTTGGACGCAGTCAGAAAACATCGGCAATTTGATGAAAAATGTTTAGTATCAGTATGTATAATCATTTCAGAATCACAGAATAGTCAGAAAAAAAAGTGATCATTTCTAGATTCGTACACTAATTCGGGCTACAGATCCAGGCGAAGATGTTCGTGCAGATCCGATGTTAGAGCGAGATTGTCAACCGATTATCAACACAGTTTGTTCAAATATAAAACCTGGGGAATCAAAGTAAATCTATTTTTAGTTTATTTCAGGCATCTGGACATGAATTTATTTTCGTTTTAGTGTTATAATGTGTCTGTTAGAAAATTTGAGAAGCAGTCGAATGACCGAAGAATGTAAAGATAGATTAATGGAAATAAGTTATTTTATGGCAAGAGATTGGCGGTAAAATAGATAAAAGTTTTTAGTTATAATCTTGTTGTGAATGATGTTTTTTATACACTTAGATTAACACCAAAGCTTTTACGAACATGTAAAAGTAATTTATTTACAGAATGTCGATTAGAAAATTGGAGTTTAGATAAAGATATGTCTGAAGCAAAAGTTGGCTACTTGTTAGGATGTTTATATCAACAACGTAAAAATGTAAGTTTGACATATGCAATACACATTTATTTATTTTTAAATCAATTTTTCAGTTATCTCCTGAATGTGGCGCTGAGCTTCGACGATTAATGTATATTCGTTCAAAATCAATCGATTTGTTGCCTGAAATAGAAGATTCATGTATTCGTGATTTAGCAAAATTTTGCCATGAACATGATGACAAAGGAGACGTATGTAAAATTTCTGAGTGAATCCGAGAATATATTTGATAATATTATATATTTATTTTTATTTTTTTAGGAGTTAAAATGTTTGCAAACAAAATATAATGACCTTGATAAGACGTGTAAAGAAGCAGTAAAAAATTATACTACAGAAACAACCGCCGATGCGAATTTAGACCTTGTGCTAATGAAAGCATGCGAACCGATGATTCAACGATACTGTCAGGTATGCACGGGAATGTTGTTGTTGTTTTTTATATCTAACACATTGATCATCTAAGTTTTCGATATAGAACGATTTGATTAGGTAATGATAGACTCATCTTAAATTATGTAGTTAGGTAAAAAATGGAGTGTTTACGCTGAGTTTGTCAGAAGTTAAAAACTTCGATATAATCCAAATTTTTGATAAGACAATAAAGAACAATTTCGATGTTTTGTGAGTTTTCAATGTAATTAAACACTTTTAGAATGGTAATGAGAACAATATGATACGATGTTTAATCCAACATAAAAATGAACGAAGTATGGATAGTCGTTGTAAAGCTGGTATCGAACATCATCAACTTGTAAGAATTATTTTTGTTTTTTGCTGTTACGCTGATGTTTTTTTGTTTTTCCCATCTTTATTCAGACAAGTATGAAAGATGCCTTTTTAAGTCAACAATTCAGGACGAACTGTTATTCTGAAATTACTGAACATTGTGCAAAAAGACACACAAAGTAAGATAGCTAGTACAATTGTTTATAAAAGAAACAGTATTTCAAATGTTTTCTATTTTTGTTTAAAGACCAAAAATTATTCAATGTTTGGCTGATCTAATGCTAAAAGATGCATTGCAACTAAAAGGAGAACAACAGATTACGGAAGGTTGTCGTGATGAATTAAAGTTCGAATTATTACAACGAGTGAGAAACATGATACAATTCTGTATATTCTTGTATGATCTTCGCCTCTCTTTTAGAATGAAAATATCTATCTTGACCCATCGTTACAAAACGCGTGTCAATATGATATTGCTAGACTTTGTAGTGATATAAAAGCTGGAAATGCACAAGTATATTTTTCATCTATTTTTCATGTTTCTATTAACAAAATTGATAATTGTCTTTTAATATTTAGATTATTGATTGTTTGAAGGAAAATCGTGATAAGATTCAAGCAAAGGCTTGTTATGTTAAATTGAATAAACGCGAAAAACTGGATATTATTGTGCCAGAAAATGATTACAGTTTAATGGACAAATGTTCGGGCTTTATCTCAGTATGTTTGCGATATGAAAATTATTATTTATATTCCGTGAATATATATATATGTGTGTTATTATTTTAGAAATTTTGCTCAACGCAACGTAAACAAAATGTTTTGGGGTGCCTACGTAGAAATATGAATCAAGATGCAATGCCATCAGGATGTCGAAAAGTGTTATTTCTTCGATTAATGATATTAAATAGTGGTAAGAGATGTACTTAAAGTTTGATTAAAGTAACTACGTAAAGAAAGGGTATTTTTAGATAAATTTCTTGAAAAGAATCTATATATCTTTTATTTTTATATGTTTAGATGCTCGTTTTAACAAAGCATTGCTAGAAAGCTGTAATGAAGATATACAACATCATTGTGCACAGGAAATAGCACAAAATGCTGATAATGATGATGATGATACGTCAGAGGAGCAAGATGACCAAACACCGACTCAAGAGAGAGACGGTACTGATATTGCTGAAAATGACGACGAAGGTGAAGATAGTCCAAATCAACAACGACGACGACGACGACGCGAGATACAAGAACAAAATGAAGATACAAATAATGATGTCGTCAATTTAATGGATCGCAAAATGGGTGGTCGGGTTATTGAATGTTTGCGTCGAAAATATGCAGATTCAACAGTCACATTAAACCCACAATGCGTAGTAGAATTGATTGATGTTATACAAACAAGTAAAATTGATGTAAAATTTGATGTACAATTATACAGGAGTTGTCAAAAAATATTGGCTAAAAAATGTTCTGATAAGTCTGAAAAAGAAGATTGTCTAAAATTATTATATCAACATGATGATATTCCAGATGATGATAACTGTAAAGCACAAGTTGTTCGAATAATTAAAGAGGGTGAAGCCGATATACATGTTGATCGTGCATTAGCATTTGCTTGTCGAGCAGATATATCAAGATATTGTAATGATATACCATTAGGAAAAGGAAAACAATTACAATGTTTGTTAAGTTACGCCGATAAATCGTTAACAAAAGATTGTACGACCGTATTAAATACAAGAAAAGAGTTATGGAAAAAAAGTGAAGTGAATGGTATCCATGATATGATGAAAACCATGGGAAAATCAAATAATAGTACATATTTATTTGCCATTTGCATACTTATATTGTTCACCATGTTTTGTGCCGGGTGTGTGTGCCGAAATATTCCGTATACCAAATATTCAAGACTAAATAAATATAAATAAATACACTTTGAGTGTATGCATCTCAAATATAAGTTTTATTGCGTGACTTGCTTATTATAATAAACTTTCAAAGTGTTCGAAAAACACAGTGTAAATTCTTAGTTAAATATATCGTTTTTTTTTTTCGATGTTCACCATTTCTATGATGCATCAGAATAAGAACAATCTTGAATCTCTTTCTTTCTTGTTTTTGTTTTGTTATTTATTGACATTCCACAAAATCATTTAGTATTATTTTTTTTTGTTGTTGTTGTTTTTTAACTATCAAAAAACACTGAACAGTATCATCATTCTAATTTTACTATTAAAAACGGAAAACATTTTATTTCTGTGTAATCTGTATTTTGTTTTATTGTCATGGAACCACAACGAACCACTTCATGTCTAAATTTTTGATTGGAAAATCAATTCTGTTTCATTCTTCTCGTAATATGTCAACAATACAAATGGAATGCCTATGTTTTATTTTCTAGTGTATTTTATCGTTGTTTGTTTTTGATATGATTCTTAAAAATCTATTGTTTTAGGATCAATTTTTTTTTCTGTTCTGTGATATTTTTTGACTGTTAATATTTAATATTTTTTATCCTTTTCTTCTAACACAAGTTGCTTCTCTTTGATTAAATATGTGTGTGCATGTGTGTGTGTGTGTGCATGTGTGTGTGTGTGTGTATGTATGTATTGTGCTGAAGATAAGAGTGATGTACGTAAAATGTCAAATAATATATGTTGCTTATTCAAATAACATTGCGTGAATTGACTCCTATGTATTCTATGATGAAGATATTTATTAAATCAGAATTTTGTGATAAACGCTTTTATCTATAGTATAAAAGTGAAATGTTGACCATCTATCGTGAGACTTAAAATAATAACACTTTTTGGCTATGAAAAGTTATAAAAAGAGTTCGTACAAGATAATCAATTTTAACGATCTAAAAACAAACATAATTTATTCTGCGATGCTCTACTATTCTTGTCCAACTTTAAAACTACAAGAAAATAACTATGAACAAATGTTTAAAAAAAACCGAAAAAAAAACGTCTGATTTTTGTTTTCTTAAAATAAATATTTAATAGTTTTACAAAATAATTATTGAGAATAAATTGTTAGTATGATATGAAATTAAATAAAACACTAGACTTTTAAAAATCAACGAATCTGACATATTGCACCATTGATGGAAGAACGAACATTCGTGAATTACTTCATTGATGTCATGAAGTATATTGAAGAACAGGAAAAAGGAAATGGATAAAATTTGTATACTACACTAAATTTGCAATACGAAAATCATTTCATAATAAACTTTGCATTTCTTTTTCTTTATCATCATCATCACTCTGATCTAATTCGCTGGTATTATTAATCGTTGTTGATACTGCAAAATTTCGTTGCCATTCTAAATTTCAAAATTGATATAAACTGAAAGTTTAGAATACTATAAGATATTTATTATTATCATTTCATTTTTTCATTCGAAAAAGAATAGATTAACGCACCTCCTCCATAATTTTCGTCTGTTTGTTCACTATGCGTTTCGGAATCACTATCATATGTTACATCACAATCACATTGTTCATCTTCAAGATATGCACAAGAATCTGTTGGTATATCAGTACAATAAAGTATTTCATCATGTTGTTCTCCTAGAAGAATACAATGGATACAATAGAAGATTTTTAAGTGAGTAAAAAACGCAAAAAAAGATCAAATTTACTATCAAAATCGTCCATAAGTACATATTGTTCACATTGATCATGTACCGAACTTTGCTCATTAATTGGATGATAATTATGTGATATTGTGGGTGGTATAACTGAAGATGATGTTTTATGTAATAATCTTGTTATAAATGGATTATTATTGGTATTATGATTAATTAATGTTTCGCGAATCCCGTCTGGAATATTTTGACTCGGTATAATGTCACAAACTACAAAAGATATGTAAATGTATATATATCTATATATCTATATATATGATGTGTGATTAATCGATTTAAAAAACTTACCAACTTTATCACATAGTCCAATTCGTTCCAATTGTCTATAAACAAGGAGATGGCTATTATTTAAAGCAAACCATTGATGATTATTTTCTACCACTTGTAATTTTGGTGGACAATCACTTTCTATTAATTTTGTTGATATTTCAATCATTAAGTTTTCATCAATAATTGAATGTTTTAAATCACCTAAACACGAATTTGTAAAATTAACAGTCGATGGTGATAATGTTAATGTACGATAATTGTTTTGATGATTTTCTGATGATGTTGATTTTTTCCAAAATGGTTTCCATGTTGAAAAATAACTTTTAACACTTTGCATTTGTTCTTCTTTTGCCCATAAATATTTCTAAATGATCATGAATTAGTTTTAATAATATTCAGAAAAGAAAACATAAAGATTGTGATTATATTGTTGACATTAACAGCAAAAAAATTATAAAATAAACCGTATAATAATAATAATAATAATAATAGATTAATTTCTTTTAGGATAAACTATAATATGTTTAGATGTACAATTATTCATAGTTATTATGTGTGTAAAAAAGGAAGAAAAACTTTCTATCTAACAGATTTTTCATAAATTTTTTCTCTAAAACTGATGCCAGTTCACTGTAGTCTGATCGTTTGCATTATTTTTTTCTTCCACCTCTTTTGCTCAAATATAACGAATAATATATCATTTGAATCAGCTACTCAAGCCACTTTTTTTTCGAAATTTTTTCATACATTGAAAATACATTGAAAAAAAATGCCTGTGACTATTTCTTTAATAATTTTTGAACAATGTACTCCGAAGACTTGCGGTTTTCAGCATTCCATAGAAGAGATAATAAACTACAGGCTAACATAAAAATATCTCAGAAAATACCATCTGCAGGTAGTATATCTTATCAGTCTTTGAAATAATAGATTGTGGTTCCAAGATCTACTAGAGTGGTCCCTGTATTTCTCATATAGGTATGATACCCTAAAATGTCCTCTACAAAATGGGGACTAAGCGACCTCTTAATCTTTCGCGATTTAGGTGAACCATCGTATTTTCTCGAAGCCCCACGATTGATATCTCCTTAGGTGTGGTATTCTCGAAAATGAATGGAAACATGGGTTATCCATCACACTGAGTCTCGTGGCAATGTTCGCTTTTCGAAAAAAATTCAAACACTTAGTGAAAACCTGTATTAAATGAAATCGCTCTTGGATGGAAATTCGATTTTTTCATTACCTCTACACGAACTGATGGATGCATTTCAAAAACAACGAAGCATTTTGAAGAAAAATTTTCGCCGATAAAGTTGTTCAGGATAATCCTCTCCAAATGCTAAGCGGAGTACTTTTTTCATTTTAATGGGAAAATTTCGAAATAAATGCAATTTACATAAATTTTAAGTAAATTTAAAGCTCAAAATTTATTATTTGTAATTTATTTCAAAATTTTCCCACTAAAATGAAAAAAGTGCTCCGCTTAGCTTATGGAGAAGATTATCCCAAACAACTTTGTCAGCGAAACTTTTTCTTTAAAATGCGTTGTTGTTTTTGAAATGCGTCCATAAGCCTCAAAAAATCACCTTAACGGGTCAAATTGTACTAGAATGAGAATTGTTAATTTTCTCAGACACAGCTGGTTCAATTTTCATTATAACTTGGGGGTATATATCACTTAATGTGCTCTGTCGAACTGCGTAACAATAAGAGTTCCAGCTTGAATTTTGAATTTTTTATAAATTTTTTAAATAGAAAATTTATCAAAATCGTATAAAATCCGTAAAAAGTTCTTTTCTCGGCAATTACAAGTCTGTTCATCGAAAGTACTTCAGAGTATATACAGCTTGATGCGCTCTACAAAGTTATGAAAAAAAACGGGGGTGGGGGGGGCGGTTAGATGTTATATGTACAACAAGAGAGACTTAATTAATTTTTCTTGAATATGTTTCTATTACTTTCTAATAATTGTAAAACAGTTTTAGCTTTAAATTTAATTAACTGTAAAATTATCTGTTCAACGTACTATCTTAAACTTGTATCGTATATAACAGTAAAAGAAGAAATTTGGTACTATCTCGAATAGACTATTGATTATCAATTTTTTTTGTTTGTTAGTCATTGACAATGACATTTTATGCCAGAACTAATGAAAAATAGAAGAGTAATTACTATTATGTAAATGTAAGAACAAAAAAAAAGAAAAACTATTTCAAAAAAATGTCCAGATCGATTATAAATTTTTGAAAATGATATGTAATAAAATGATTATATCAGTCTCTTCACGACTAAATTACGGCTTCATTACTTGTAGAGGTTTTTAAATTTATTGAATTGAATCATTAAAAAAATTTACGATTAGCGAAAAATATCTATCAACAAACATCAGACAGAGATTGGATCCTAAACAAAAGATTTAACATAACTCTTATTCTAGACTTACCAATCAAGTTAAAATAAATTGCAGTACATGATCTAAAGCTAAAATTTCAGTTTAATGTTTAAATAATTTTTCTCATATAGATCTAGTTCAATGAACAAATAAATAGAGACATCATCATTTTAGAAGGGAAAAAAAAACCCTTGTGTATTTTGAGTATTGCGCCGACTTGGCATCATCATCATCATCATCATCAAAAATATAAATACTCATCTAATTGTCATCAGAAAGAAGAAGAGGAAAAATGACAAAAAAAAAAGAAGAAAAGAATAGAGAAGAAGAAGATGCGTAGTGGACCGACAAGTTTTTTTTTTTTCAATAAATATTTATATAGATATACGACGATTATTTTCGTAATAGGACCAAAAATTTTAGTTTTTTTGTTCCAGAGATTCCCAAATTGTTTTTTTTTTGTTCTCTTATTTTCTTCTATTAAGAATATTTGTTGTGTGTACTATAACAGCTAGATATCAACAGATGTATGTCTTTGATACGATGAGACCTTCAACATATACATTTATTAACATTCAGTGTTAATAGGATATGTCCATTGGAAGTGATTAGAGTAGTCAGTCGTTGCTTCTATTATATATATCGTCTAATTTAATGTTTTATGAAAAAGAGAAAACGATAATATTTAGTATAAATGTCAGCGAGAAATTAGAGGGGTTTTATCCCTTTCTACTAGAGATATGTACTCGATTTTTCTAGCAAATCTGTTTGAAAATTATCTTTAAGAAAAAAATAATGTTTGAGACATTATCATCAAAGAAGAAAATCCTAAAGACGCTACTAATAATATTATCTGTTATTACAAGATTGATCTTATTATTTTTTCTCTCTCTGTCATTCGTATTGATTAGATATAGTTAATGCAAATTTATTCAACAGCAATAAAAATAGTCTAATATAAGAACTATTTTTCACATCTATTAACATGACTTTCCGTTTTTCGTTGAAAAAAATATTCAAAGAAAAAGTAAATTGAAAACTTCATCTTAACTGTAGTGGTATCGTTCTCCTCCACATGCGAATTATGTTCAATCAATTTTTTCTTCAAAAATTTTTTATTTTTTAGTGAAATTTTCTATAACAAGCTCATCACTCCTCTAAAAGCGCAAATTCTGAAAAAGGTATGTCACGTACGTGAAGCTTGTTAAAAAGTTAATAACAATAAAAAAACAAAAGTCATATCTTCTCAAGAGTTTAGCAGAGTCACTGGTATTAGTAAGACGATAATTCTAAATTAACTGACATTGACGGATGGTTCCACTTTTCAATATCATCGCTGTAAACAGTTTAACAGCAATAAGAGGACGTGTACGCGTGCATATCCATCCTGCATTTCGACTTTTTTATGTTTTCTCGATCAAACAAACAATTTGATTCCAATTCATTTTGAATATATCCGGTTAAAAAATTGAGGCGTATGTGAACTTTAAAGATTTGACATGAATAAAAGGAAGAACGTTCTCTCATTGATTCTCTTAACTAATTTGAATAACGCTACATGTTGTACGTAAAGTGGTGTATTTATGTAAATTCAATTTCTTAAAAAAAATCCATTAAAAAAGTTTTTTTACCTTTCTGTCAGAATGTTTCAGCATTATGACCCAAACTCAAAATCCAGCTTTTTTGTCTCGTCACGGCTGACTCAAAAGTCTTCTTCATTGTATAACATTATTTCTCTACTCTTTCTTTCTCTCTGAATCGATAACTTGTATTGATTATGTAAGATCCTTATCTCCTCCAATAAGTTTAATAATTAATTGAGTTTTTGATCAAGATCAATTTTTCTATTTCATGATACAATAAGATAAAACAATTCTCATTCGATGATTCACATATTTAGTATTTAAAATATAGAACTCTGATGTAATAACATCTTTTTCTTTCATCTTTTTTTTCTTCTTCTTTAATGATCAATCATCATTTTTTTTCCCGCTTTACATCTATGTTCAAAACAGATTCTATCGTCATTTTTTTCTCCCATTACAAACGCATATCAAATTTGTTGTAAATTAAATTTGTCTACTTAGAATATATGGATGGATGCGTAGAGTGTTCCTCGTTTTTTTTTTTCGTACGAAAAACACATAGAAATTAGGAAAACTAATAAGTGTACGTATATAGATATTAATTGTTTAGACCTTGACTGTATTCAACATGTTACGAAATAAACGATAAAGAAAGATATGAAACATGGAAAAACATTGGATTAGGCTAATTCTGATGGAATATTTGCTTATTATCTTTGTTGAGAAATGTTTCTAAACACTGATAAAAACGGAAAACAGACGTATAATGGGAAATTTTTCTGAAGAAAAACTCTCAGTAGACGTTTATACTTTATTTCGTTTGATTCAGATTACGTATTATTACCTACGAAAGCGATTTTAATTCAACAAAGAGTCTCTTATTGAACGTACTTAATCCAAGTGGTTGATTACTTGATAAGTACCTAGAAGAATAGGCTATAGTTTCAGAATTACTCATTTGCTCTGCACTGTTACAAGTAATTCACCAGAACTCCAATATTTAGTGCTTTTTAAAACCAAAAACTTTCATTACTCTTTCGAAATTATTTAATTTTATTAAAAAATTAGTAACGTTTCAACATCGAAAATGTCTTCATCAGACCACTTTGATTGGAAACGAAAAATCACTTGCTTAAGACAAAATTTATTTCTGGAAAAAAAAGGCGAGTATCGACTCTTTTCTACAAGCGAAGCCCTTGTCCCAAGTACATTCTAGTGTATTATTTAAATATTCAAGGGATCAATTGTTTCAGAAACTGAAAATGAACACAAAAAAACCTGTCAAATCTCATGACATTTGTTAGTCTTTCATTCATCATAATCGCAGGCTCATTTGCTTGATAAAGGATCCGTCTATTACAAATAGTTTGTTGAAAAATGGATAAACAATGTGACAACATTCATTTGACTCTATTCTTTATTTGATAAATGAGTATAAAAGTTCATATAATCTGTGAATCATTGACTCATTTTAAAATGTTACACAAATTATAGATGCAATCTAATTCAGAAATATGTGAATATTTATGAGATTGAATGTAGGCCTAGAAATGATGTCATAGTAAGCTCTTCCTTCTGGGAGAAACGCAAAATTCGCTTTGAAATTGATTTGGAGGCAGCCACTGATGAATAAGTGAGGAAGTGTTGCCACCACAGCGGCAAAGAAATCTTTGTTTTTCAGCAACAAAAAAAATTCTTTTTCACTCATTCATATTCACTCAGGATTGATCACCAAGATCTTGAAGAAATTCATTACCTACATCTTGATTCTGAATCACTCAAGATCTTTACCTTTCCATTTCAAGATCTCGGTTACAAGAAGTTTCAGTAGGAGCAGTTCACGTTTTTACTGAACGGTATTACAGTGATCAAGCAGTGAAGAATGTTCTCAGATCCATTGTTTTTCCTATAAACAAATATATTAGCGATCTCAGTAAGCGCAAGACAAACGTCAGAAGCAAGATTCTAAGCACCCGTAGGCTCAGTGAGTCTGAGCTACTTCAAATAGCTGTTTTCCTTCTTTGTTACAGCAATTAGTGAACATATTAGTGAAAATGTATTACCGTGACAAAAGAAAAAGCAGATCAGAAATGACTATACAGATATAAGTGAAATCAATTTCAAAAAAAAACTATACTTTCTTTTTTTGCGTGTGGAATGGGTATAAAATATTGATGGTATTAGGAAATTTCATACTGGCGATATCAAAATTCTTTTGAGCATTCCCAATTCTGGAACGCTCATAAATACACCTACAAGGTATTTATGAGAAATTATTTGACAAAACGCCGCGAAAAATGTTTTTTGACTTTTTATCCTGTTCAAAAGTTGATAATATACGACATCTATTATATTGTTTTTGAATATTTATAAGTATTCGATGGTAAATAAGTCTATTGAACTATGCTAAATTCAAACAGATTTTCTTTTGTCTTTGTTTATTGACTGCCCTTATCGAAAGAAAACGTACAAAATTTTCGAAACTGATCTGAATAGTTGTGTATCTGTTAGTTTGTCGCTCTATATCTGTTAGTTTGTCGCGTAGAGCGACAAACTAACAGTTGATTATTTCGGTCTCTGTGACGTATATAATGGTAACGTATAGCCAATCAGTGTTTGTAACAACAATATATTATATCATCTAGCAAAGAAGCAGCTGAGTTCTGACAAATATTCGCGCGCAACAGTTAAACAAAGGATTATCACCAGAAGTCCTTCGATCGAGAAAAAGCAAAACAGTGTTTTTGACAATATGCCTCTAGAGTTTTAGGATTAGATCCACTTTCATTAGACCATGAAAACAGGGAAAAGATAGATCAATTTCCGAGTTGGCCATGATAATGTAAAATGATAAATCGAAGTGAGTTACACCATCGTCTTTTTATATTCTACTAGCTGCTTGTTTGATATTGCTGATTTAACAGGCAAGATGTTTGTGTACAGCCATGTGGAGTGTTCTTCCGAGCTGTACTGCTAATTAACAACCACATATTTCCGCTTTTTTTATAATGATAATATCCACATATATTGATATAGAAATATTATCGCACTTAAAATTAATTATATTATCTTTCTTTTTGCAGATTTTGTATCTGTTTTGGTTATTTCGATTAGAAAGATGAGTTAAACAGAATCTGAAAATAAAGAATTTGGAATACAACCGGTGAACTATATTGTTTAAACGTCAAACAATGAGTCGTGGTGGCAATTTAAACCGGAATCGTGTTCGTACTCCTGGTGAAAACTTAATAGCATTGGGCGTACGAACCAACAGCCGTGAAACATCAAATATTGTCGTAACATCGACAGCAAATAATAACATAGGTCAAAACTCATCTTTGCTAAATACTTCTACTACCTCCGTCACGACAAATAATATTCTAACAACATCTGTGCTCACAACGCCATCAACAATCAACGTTCGATTACCATCTCGTTCAGTCATACCACCAGTAACAAATCGCCACAGTCCAATCGACAATACATTTGATCAAGATCAAGTTGGTTTATTACCATCAAATGTCAATATGAATAATAATAATAATAATAGTAACAACAACGATTATTGTTCGTTTAATACTGAACAGTTTCGCATTGATTTAAAAACATCACTGAGTAATAATAATGCTAAGTGTATAGAACAACAAATATTGAATGCAATCACTTACCTAATGTCAACATCAAAACGCCAATTACAAGATTTAAATATATTAATTATTTTAAGTTGGTTGTCCACAAGACAATCAACTGTATTTGTTGTGCCGTCCATCACAAAAGCTTTATGTAATTTATTGAAATCACAAGCATTTAATAAAATAATGAAATCAATTACAACGCAAACTGCATTAACACTGTCCAATCAAATAGTAAATCCATATGTGTTTATTTCACAAATACTTTGGCTTACCCATCAGGTAAATGTTTGTATTGTATCTAAAATAGAAAAATAAAGAATATTTCCTCCATTTTTAAACTATCATTTATTTATTTTTGGCGATTATTCTAGAAACAGTCAATATGGCCTGATGAATTTATTGAAGCTTATATTGACGACGCTTTAAATGAACATAATTGGATCGATGATGTTAATTGTAGTCCATTTGTTACAAACATATTAACTGCGTTTGATACTCGTCCACGTACATGGAAAATTGATTCGTGTAATCAATCAAAATTGATACCTTCGACAGTTAATAATAGTGTAGCAATGGATGAAACAAGTAATGATAGTGCTGGTGGAGAAACAATATCTGAATCTGATATGCCAGTTGATGATACAACATCTACATCACCAGAAAATTTAGTTTCGCCCCGTTATCTCGGTCGACTAGATTCTATTCAATTGTTATTAATATCGATGATATCTAAATCAAAAAGTAGCAGTACAACAACAATGACAAGCGGAAGTCAACCACATGAAACAGATAAACTTTTAAAATTACTTGAATTATCATGTGGTCTACCTGAAATTCGAACATTAGTTCTTCAACGTCTTGATGTATGGTTACAAAATCCAAAATTATTTCGATCAGCTGAACGTTTATTGGTAGCTTTGTGTGAAAATATAACCGGTCGAAATGTATCGTCATCATTAAATGATGTGATAAATGTCCATGATAAGAACAACAACAGTGAGCAACAAGATGAAATTATGCGAAAGACCATGGAACAACTACTCAATTTAAGATTTAAAATACGTGCAACAACGACAACAAAACCCTTTTTTTCCTGTATTAGAGAAATGTTACGAATAGAAACAAAATTAATTGATATTTTTATACGTTTGATTGTACAAAATGAATTGCAATTACAAGGACAACAAACAACAACGACTAAAAATCCGTCTAATATGTCATTATTACAATGTGCATTTCAAGCTAATCAAGAATATTCAATGAAATTATTGGCATACACGGTGCAGACAATCATATTGACTCAACCAATCTCGAAACAACCAAATGAATATGAATTATTGAAACAGTTACGCACGTTTCTAAGAGAACTATTTCGATTTGTTAAGAGTGATTTTGATTATTCTCTATTTTGTATGAATTTAATTGACATGAATTATTCATTAGATCAACAATCTCTATTTTGGAAACAACAACAAACGTGTAATGAACAGCAGGTAAAATTTAAAAACGTCAGACAGAAGATATCCTCCTATATACGTACGTCCAAATGTATACCCGTTATTTATTGAGCATAGTATTGATGGTTAGCTCGAGTGCTGGTTTTGGTCTCGTTAGATTGATCATGCCAAACTGTCGATCATACTATGTCGAAGCACGAATTATTGCAAAAATGAAGGCATAAAAGAGTACATGATAATCAATACTGGGCATACACATAAAGATTAAACATCACAACCCGATTTCTTTTTGAAAAATTGAGTGACAAAATTTATATTCATTTTCAGGTACTGTGCTTTAATAGCTCCTTTTTGATTATATGCTGTTAAGGTGCTCTACTCAGATAGTCGATTTTTGTTTTTCAGTTTAACTCGCTTTTAACATAAGCACATCAATATAACTTCAGATGTATGTGTACGTTTGGAGTCCATCTCATTTTCTGCTCTATGAAGTTTTTTAAAAGAGTTTTCCAGAAGTCCTAAAAACAGACTTGTTAAAACTTTCAATAATCTTTCTCTTATAAAGGAGATGTGATATAACTCTGTGCAATTCCGCATTAGAAACTAATGAACATTTTTGCTACAAGCTCTAAAATGCACTAGAAGAGAGACAAAAGAGATGACACAGCGTCGCCGTAAGGATTAGTCAGGTAGATATTACACATTTTTCTTACGAATGGTACAGCATACGCGAACAGGTTTTTGTTTTTTGTTACCGGAAAATTTGAGAAAAATGTACTCTGCACAGAGTTCCATTCTGATTCTTGCACTTCCGCTTTTGAACAAATGATGATTTGAAGCTGAAACTCTCATTATGACATATTTATAGTATGTACCTAAATCCTTGAAATCTTTGCTCTGTAAAAAAAAATTAGCTCTCTGAAAGGCGTTCTCTCAAGATACTAACATTATCAGCTGAAATATTGGATATCAGAGGTGAACAGTCATAAGCATCTGTAGAATGTTGGATGCGTAAAATATTGAATTATATTTCGTATTCATAGTCTAGTTTTCGTGATATTTGCACACATCTCTTACAAACTAACAGTATGACCTATATATTAAATACAATTGAAAACAGGTTAAGTAAAGGCATTTTACAATTTTTGCGAGCTTTCGGTACAAAATCAAGTGGTTACTTAACGTGTTTTTAATTGTATTTAATATATTATATTTCTTAAAAAACGTAAAAAGACAAAAACTATCAGTATGACCTAATTTTCAAATGAAGAATCGTAGATTATATTATCTTCTAATGTGAGTAAGAATTTTTCGTAAGGTGCCGAAAATGCAAAACTCGAGCGGATTTTTTTCTCGTTGAATCATACATAATGGGACAGAGTACGTCGAGCTGCATGAAGAATATCTACTTTTTAATTTTTTTAGACCATGTTTTGGGTAAGAAATTTTTAAAATACAAGTCACCAGTCAAAAAGTGAAAATTTGACTGAGTTCGAGAAAATTCAAGATTTTGCCCGTTTACACTGATTGAAATTTTCTGAAACCATCCTATTTGGATTTAGCATTAAAAACTGAGTACATCCACGTAAGGAAGAGAATTGCATCACAGCCCTCTCTCTGAGCAAGCGCGTCTAAAATCGTTAAGGGGCAAAGTGATATCCTATTCTTGCAAATCTTTGAAAAGTTTTCCCCGATATTCATATATCATTCGAATCATCCATAGATAGCCAATAATCGTTGGCATCGGTTCTGAAAAATTTGGTTTCCTCGCTGAGAAACGTCGACTTTAGTAGGAAAAATCGAAATTCTGCTTCTAATTCGCAATTTTCTCCATCAGAACTCAACTTTTACACAATAAAAATACTATATTCGGAATCAGCGTCAAAAGTCGAGTCGAATGGTTTTCATCTTTTTGTCCAATTCGATCACTTTAATGTTTTTTGAATTTTCACGTCGAATAATTACTGAGATACAACGAAAAATTTTGAAATATTCGACTCGATTTTTGACGCTGATTCCGAATATGATATTTTTATTGCGTAAAAGTTGAGTTCTGATGGAAAAAATTGCGAATTAGAAGCAGAATTTTGATTTTTCTGAAAAAAAATTAAAAAGTAGACATTCTTGATGCAGCTTGACAAGCTCTGTCCAGCCATATATGATTCAACGAGAAAAAAATCCTCTCGACTTTTGCATTTCCGACACTTTATCTTACCCATAGATTATAAGCTTTGAGTGATTTTAATATAGATACTGTTATCATTCGATATTTTCAATCTATCTGTTTTAGGATACTTTTCCGTCATCATCTCAACGTCTTTTAAAACATTTACTTGATTATGATGTCAATATTCGTGAACGCTTTTTCTTCTACATATGTGATTTGATATCAATGATTATTTTGGCCGCTGCCATTTTACCATCGTCATTTCATTCTTCGTCTACGTCATTACCCATATCATCACGTCTAATTTCAAATCCGTCAACGTACGATCAATGGATTTCGTATATTCAACGAGTATCGTGCATTCAATTTTGCTGTTGTAAATTTTTTCTCTATACTGTACCAAAATTATTTGATTATACTAATGTATTAACTCCTCAACGTTATACAACTGATTATATTAGTTGTTTATATAAAATTCTGTTTAAGGATAATATTGACGCTTATTTACGTTTTGATAATTGGCCATCGGTCGAACAACGGGGCGATTTATTTCGTTTATCTTCTGAAATTCCACAACTTGGTGAAACATTAAGTTTACTAGTTGATATTGGTCTTTCACAGCAAACTCCGATGAATTCTAATTCTACAACTGAATTAATTGAATTAATATTACGTCGAACTTTAAGTAGTGAACAAAAAATCATTGATCAACATCATCAACAATATTTATGTTTACCACAAGAAATAATACCAAATTTTATTTTAAAACTATTTGAATTGAGTCGTTACACTTATCTACAACAAATAATCTTACCATCAACTTATCATCCACCAAATTTAGCTGTTACAGCCATATATTGGAAATGTTGTCTAATATGTTTACTATTAGCATCACAGAATACACAAATTTTTGGAAAATATATTTGGGAAAATATAGTACAAGTGAGAATATTTATGGAAATGTTATTGACGGGTGAGTGAAAATGAATAGAACTTTTGAAAAACTTATTTCTTATTCTATTTTGTGTTTTAGGCGATTACAATTATCCACCTCAATCATGGTTATTATCGTTACAGAATCAAAGTCAAGATAAATTTCATATGAATGAATTAATCATGTTACAAAATGAAGAAGATTTAATATTAGAATTAGAACAATTTCTTGCCTCACCACAAACAATAACACGATTAAATTCTGAATTATTAGGTAAAGTTTGTCTACTCGATCAACAAACACAACCAAAACGTCCATTTCATCATCATACCATCGATAAATCACAACAATCAAGTCAAAGTGAAAAACAATTTTATGAAAAAATACAAGCATTAAATAATCAATTTAAATTATCATCAATGTTATGCCGTTGTCGTTCACCCGATTATATATTAGATATATTAAATAGAGAAAAACAACAAGAAAAAACAACAACGTCGGTAACATCGTGGTTAGCTAGATTAATTGATTCAAATATTGATTGTTTAAATATATTTCCCATTATATGTCTGTGTGAATATTTTCAATATATTATTATGATTTACAAGACAGCAAAAACAAATGGAGAATTATTTCAACGAAAAACGGTGAATGATCTTGATACAATAATTCAACGATTTAAAACAATAATTAATAATGTTAAACAATATCATGAATCAACAATAAATTTATCAGATGTAAGTATCAATTGTTCTATTAGACGGCTTGTTCAAACGTAACGGCGTGACATTTTTGACACACTTATCTTTAATTAACTCAAAAACTATAAGAGCTAGAAAGCTCATTCTAGCGCCATTCGATGCAGCTCGCTTTATTCTATTTATGATGTAAAAATGCAGTTTTTCTGTTTTGGTCTCGAGCTTTCAGAAAGGCTTCTTCAGTGCGTAACGGCGTGACATAAAACGGCCTTAAATTTTGAGAACTGGTAATAAAGCTCTAATTTCCTGCAAAAGTATCTATCCAGCTGGAAAGTTTCAGGAGTCATTTTTGTAGAACATCGAACGAGCTATTCAACGGTAAAAAAATCTTCTGACCACTATTTTTGCTCGGGTATAAAATGCTAAAAAACAAACGTAACGCCGTGACATACTTTTTTATCGCACCATTTTTAGGCACTAAACGTTGTTAAAAAAACTTCATACTTATAAATGAAGAGCGAGGAGCAGTAAGATTAAATAATGAAATGAAGTAGAGAACTGCTGAGAAGATCATGATTCATTCAAATCACAGATTTATTTTCACAATATTTCGACAGTCACTGCTGCC